TGGATTCTTCTTCTTCTTCTTTAAATTGCTGTCCCAGATGGGTGTTTTCCACTACCTGGTGTTCTGAATTGCTGATCAGTCCTCTGCTTCATCTAATCTACCGCTGATTACCTGTCATGTAGTCTTCATTTCAGTAATTGTTTTCATTTCTGTTTTAACTCGTTTGTTTTTCTTTGTGTAAGTTCTCACTGAGTGCATTTACCACCCCACCCCACCCCAGGTTCATCCCCACAGCCCATGTTCTGAACTCTGCATCTGGTTGACTGCGTGTCACCATTGTGTTTAGTGCTGTTGTGTTTGTTTTGTTTTTTGGAGTTTTGTTCTGTTCATCACTGGGGACATGATTTTTGCCTCCTTCTTTTGGCTGCCTCCCTGCATCTGTTTCTATATATTTGCTAGGTCTGCTATGTCTCTTGGTCCCGGTAGAGCTGCGTTGAGTCCTGTGGGGTTCATGGTGCAGTCTTCATGGTCACCTGTGCCAGGTGCACCCGGGGTGGCCACTGTATGGCTTCTTTGTGCCCCCCTATTGTATTTGAGCCTTGATTGTTGTTGGTACATCCGTGGTAGGGATTGACCCTCAGGCTGACTGGCTGTGAGGAATAGCTGTACCCTAAGTGGACAAACTGTTGTACAGGGGCCGACCCTCTGGAACAGGGTTTGCTTTAGTGGGGCTCCGATGTCGGCCAAAGCTGCCCTCTGGTTGTATCACTCGTGGAGGTGGTTGGGTGGTGCTCCGGGGTGTCTGAAGCTGGCCAGTGGGTGTGTCGGTCCTGGGGCCTCTTACGATGCGGTCCGGCCCAGGCCACAGTGAGCCACAGCCTGTGCTTGGCCGGGACCACCTGGTAGGAGGTCAAAGTGCTGCGCAGGTGGCGGCTTCTGTGTTGAACTTGGAGGCTCCTGGGAGAGGTGCCGCTGTGGTCCCGCTGCCTGCCATCGGTGCTGGGCTTGGGGCCACCTAGCAAGTGGGTGCTGCAGGCAAGGCCAGAGGCTGCTGGGCTGGGCTGTACGGGCCTCTGGGAGACGTGACGGGAGCCTGCAGCAGAGCCCAGACCGGCTGTTCGCATGGAGAGCTGCCAGGAGAGGCAGGACTGGCCACGAGCCGGGCGGGGTCGCAGCAAACCACGAGGGTGGGGTGAGGCGTGTCCGTCCAGTGTCCTGTGGGCGAGGACTCAGGCTTGGGGCCTCCTGCGTGAAGGTTGGGTGGAGGCCGGCTCCGGAGGGAACAGTGATACCTGCTGCTCAGCCAAGGAGCCCTGGGGCCGCAAGCCTCCCCGCAGCCCTCGCCCGGAGCCAGGCGATCGGTTCTCCCGGGTACGTCCGGGCAGTTTGAGCTCTTCCCCAGCTCTGGGGCTCAGAGCGAGTGGGTGAGTTCATGTGGGACCCTCAGGGGTACGTCTGAAGCTGCCACGGCCCTGTGCCTCCCTCGGCCACCATCCCCGCTGGTTTCTCGGCCAGACGTCGCAGGAACCTGTCTTCCTGCTCCTGGGATCCTGGCCCGGGGAGCCCAGTGGGGCTGGCACTTTGCTCCCCAGAGGGGACCTCCACCTCAAGACACACCTCCCAACCCTTACCTGTCGCAAACGGGCTTAGAACCAGCCCAGTCTGTGTCCCCTACCCTCCTGCCAGCCCCAGCGTGACATTTGCTGCACATCTGGTCTTCAGGAGGCCGTCCGAGATGGTGGTGCCTTCCTTTAGCTGTAATTCCGAGGTGGTCTTTGGGGAAGGCGAGCACAGAGCTCACCTATTCCGCCGCCTTGACCAGAGCGGGATGGGTCTTGTTTTCTTACGGCCTTAGCCGTCCTGGGTCTTGTTACTTCACTCAGCGCGTTTATTGATGGGTATGTGCGCTGCCGTCTGATCGTTTTCCGATGGTTTCTGTGGCGCTTCTCTGTTCCCTCCTGATTTTCTTGCTCACGTGTCTCGTATGTTGAAGACTTCTTGTCGTGTTTGCGAGGGTTCCTGTCTCTTTACCTCTTGTCTACGACTTGCAGGTTTGGGCTTGTGGTTACCCTGTGGTTCAGATACACACAGTTCTGTTTGCAGCAGTCTATGTTACGTTGATGGTTGCTTAAGTCCAAACGCATTTTAAAGCCGCTATCATTTTCACTCACACGCTTCATCTTTGCTTTTGTCATCATTTGTTACTTCACTTCTCTGTGTGTTCTGCTTGTGTATACTTTAATTTACTGTTGTAGCCCTGGACGGTTTGGCTCAGCGGTTAGAGCGTCGGCCTGCGGTTCCGAGAGACCAGGGTTCGGTTCCCGCTAAGGGCACGAACCTCGGTTGCAGTTTGTCCCCGGCCCTGGTTGGTCGTGCGGGTGGCAGCCACTCGATGTGTCCCTTTCACGTTGATGTTTCTCTCTCTCTCTCTCCCCCTCCCACTCTATCTGAACAAAAAATGGAAAAATGTCCTTGAGTGAGGATAAAAAAAAAAATTAAAATAATTTACTGTTGTAACTACATGTGACCATCCTACTTTTGCATTTAAACCTTTGTCCTAGCTTTACGGTTGGTCAACCCACTGCTTTTAATATGTATTTGCCTTTGTAAGTGAGAATATTTTTTCTTTGTTCTATTTTCTCACTCATACCTTTTATTATTTTTTTCTTCTTAAAGACGTCCCTTTAGCATTTCCTGTAATGTTTGGTGGTGAAAAACTCTTTTAACTTTTCCTCGCCTGGGGAGCTCTTTACCTCTCCTTCAGTTTTTAAAGGTAGCCTTGCTGGGCAGAGTAGTCTTGGTGGTAGGTCTGGGCTTTTCATCAGTCTGAATGTTTCGTGCCTCCTCCTTCTGGCCTGAAAGTTCCGGTTGAAACCAGCGGACACCCTTATGGGAGCTCCTTCTACCCAGCCAGCTACTCTTGAGCTCTTGAGATTCTTCCTTTGTCTTTATCCTTTGCATTTTAGTTAGGATGTAACTTGTATGTCTATTTCCTTTGCTAAGTTAGAGAAGCTTCCCATCATTATTTCTTCAAGTCGGGTTTCAATCCCTTGCTCGCTCTCTTCTCCCTCTGGTGTCCCTCTGATGTAAATGTTGGTACACTTCAAATTGTTGTCCCAGAGGCCCCTTAAACTATCTCCATTTTTTAAATTCTTTTTTTTTTCCTTTTAGCTGTACTGATTGAGTCTTATTTTATTTTATTTTTATCCTCACCCGAGGACATTTTTCCATTTTTTACCCAGATAGAGGGGGAAGGAGAGAGAGGAAGAGAGAGAAACATCGATGTGAAAGGGACACATTGAGTGGCCGCCACCCACACGACCCAACCAGGGCCGGGGACAAACTGCAGCCAATGTACATGCCCTTAGTGGGAACCAAACCCGGGTCTCTCAGGACCGCAGGCCGACGCTCTAACCGCTGAGCCAAACCGGCCAGGGCGAGTCTTATTTTTTTCAGATTGATAATTAGGTTTTCTGCTTCATCTAATCTACTGTCAATTCTATCTATTATCTTTCCCATTTCAGCTATCGAATTCTTTACTTCCGATTGGTTCTTTTCTATGATTTATGTCTTGCATAAGTTTTTGCTGAATTCATTATTCTCCCCTGAGTTCCCTGAGCATCTTTATCATTCGTGTTTCGAATTTTGTATCTAGTAGATCGGGCGTCTTCGGTTTGCTTAGGTCTTTTTCTGGGATGTTGCCTTGTTCCTGCATTTGGAAATGTTTCTTTGTTTCTCTTGGCTGTTTGCACAGTGTGTGTTTGTATGTGTCAGGTGGAGCTGCTCTGCCCCCCATTGCTAGCACTGACCTTACGCAGTAGGTGTCCTGTCGTACAGTCAGCTGGCCCCCTGAGCTGGGTGCGCCAAGGTCTCTCTTTTGAGACTTGTGTATTCTCTCCTGTTTGAATTGAGTTTTGATGGCTATTGGAACATTGGTGCGAAGACAGGCCCTCAGGCTGACCGGCTATGAGGACTGGCCATGCTCACAGTGGACGGACGGTTGTGCAGGGGTTCACCCCTCAGAGTGAGATTTACCTTAGCAGGGCTCTGGTGCCGCCTAGTCTACCCTGTGTGTGTCATTTGTGGTAAGTCGGGTTGTGTTCTGGTACAGCATGAAGCTGGCTACTGAGTGTATTGGTTCTGGGGACTCTTGGGAGGGGCTCTGGTACAGGCCAAGGGTACAGGGGCTCTGTGGCCAGTCGGGGCCACCTGCACTGCGATGTGTTGCCTCCTGTCCCGGGTGTGGGGTGCGCGGGAGGGCGGTGTTGTGCAGTAGGGCTGGCTTCCACCGGTGCTGGGCTTGGAGCGGCTCAGCAGGTGGTACCAGGCAGGGCCAGGCCAGCCTCTGCTTCGGGGCTTGTGGGACTTTGAGAGATTTTAGGAATGTTTGCAGCCTGGGCCAAGGCCAGCCATGTGTGTCCAAGAGCCACCGGAAGAGTTCAAGCCAGCCGTGTGCATGGGGAAGGGGAGGGTCTCAAGAAATCGCCAGGTTAAGGGAGAGTCAGACTTGGTGCCACCCTGCCCGGGCGCCTGTGTGGAGGAAGGGCTCTCTGGGGACAAGGACACCTGCCAGCATTTCGGTCCTGAACAGATTTGCTTCTCCAGCCCTCGCCCTGAAGCTACACAATCCCTACATGTCCCGGGTACTTCCCAAACCAATGTCCCTTCATGGGGGCCTGAGAGAGTGTGAGAGGGGTCTGTGCTCCGGCCCTTTAGGAGGATACCTTAGCGGGTCTACAGCTACCCGCTGCCCACCCAGGAGGAAACGCTGCTGACACCCACAGCCGTACTCCCCCCATAACCGCGCTCGGGGCTGGTGGCCCTGGCTGGGGCCGGCACCCGTTGGCCCTCTGGGGACCCTGCACAGCCAGGATGTCTTTCCCGTTCTTAACCACCAGGCTGGGATCAGCCCGTGTGCTGCCCACCCCCGCCTCAACGTGGCTGCTTCTTCATGCTGTTCGTCATGGTCGTGTTAACTACTCTTCAGGTGGCTCCCAAGGGTGGATGTTCCCCGGCTTAGTTTCAACTCTGACGTGGTCACGGAGGAGGCCCACACTTACCACGATTTTAAACCTGTGCAGGAGAGACGTGGAGTCGGCCAGGCAGCCGTACTCGGCGTTCGCGGGGCTGTACTTGGGGACGTAGCCGTCGGCCCCGGTGCACAGGAACACCTTCTCGATGGTGCAGGAGAAGGACTCGCCAAGGTTCTGGACGGGATCCACCATGACCCGGCCGTAGATGACGTCACCTGCAACACAGGCGGACAAGTCGCTCCTGCCGCGCGCGTGCTGAGGTGCGGCTGTGACGCTGCCGACGTGCGGTCACCCCGAGGCCACAGCTCTGGCCGCTCTGCAGAGTGACCACAGGTGGCAGGGCACGTACTGGTCCCCACGTGCCAGCAGCGGGGATAACCTCAAACCCTGGCCTGTAACCTCCAGAATGTCCCCGTGGTTGAAGTCTAGTTTGCGAAATAAATGACTTGGCAGGATGCAGACGGATACGTTGTGGAGTAGCGCTGAGAGCTGCGCCCACACATGGCCCGTGGCACAGACGGTGGTGTGATGTAGCCTGGGGTGGGCAGGGGCTGGGTGGAGGGGGCTACAAGGGGCGGAGATGGGGGGACATCTGCAATGCCATCAACAGTAAAAAAAACAATAACGTTGCCTGACAATTTAAAGAAGCTGAATTAACTTCATGTGATTGTGGAAGAGGGTTGAAGGAGTTGCCCGGGTATTCAAGCACCTACTTCACAGCCGTGACTGACCCCACGTCTGTGCCAGACCGTCGGCGCGGTGCTGGGAGGCCACCTACTTCACAGCCGTGACTGACCCCACGTCTGTGCCAGACCGTCGGCGCGGTGCTGGGAGGCCACCTACTTCACAGCCGTGACTGACCCCACGTCTGCGCCAGACCGTCGGCGCGGTGCTGGGAGGCCACCTACTTCACAGCCGTGACTGACCCCACGTCTGCGCCAGACCGTCGGCACGGTGCTGGGAGGCCACCTACTTCACAGCCGTGACTGACCCCACGTCTGCGCCAGACGTCAGCACGGTGCTGGGAGTCCACCTACTTCACAGCCGTGACTGACCCCACGTCTGTGCCAGATGTCGGCACGGTGCTGGGAGGCCACCTACTTCACAGCCGTGACTGACCCACGTCTGTGCCAGACCGTCGGCACGGTGCTGGGAGGCCACCTACTTCACAGCCGTGACTGACCCCACGTCTGCGCCAGACGTCAGCACAGTGCTGGGAGTCCACCTACTTCACAGCCGTGACTGACCCCACGTCTGTGCCAGATGCCGGCACGGTGCTGGGAGGCCACCTACTTCACAGCCGTGACTGACCCACGTCTGTGCCAGACGTCGGCACGGTGCTGGGAGGCCACCTACTTCACAGCCGTGACTGACCCACGTCTGTGCCAGACCGTCGGCACGGTGCTGGGAGTCCACCTACTTCACAGCCGTGACTGACCCACGTCTGTGCCAGACGTCGGCACGGTGCTGGGAGGCCACCTACTTCACAGCCGTGACTGACCCCACGTCTGTGCCAGACCGTCAGCACGGTGCTGGGAAGCCCAGTGCTGGTCTGGGAGGCATTTCCGTTTCATGTAGCTGCAGTATTTGAGTTTGCAAAACTTGAAAATACATTTAAGAAAAAAAAAAATCCAGACTTATTCCAAAAATCATGTAACTAAGGAAAATACAGCTGAACACCTCCAGAGATAAAATTATTCAGTGACATACACCTGCCCCAGTGGTAAAGGCCCAGTTATAGTCTCCAAACCATACAAGAGGTTATATATTTTCCCTTAAACACAATTCTTTTTTTTTTTTTTATCCTCACCTGAGGACATTTTTGCATTTATCTTCAGATAGAGCAGGAGGGAGAGAGGGAGGAAGATAGAGAAAGAGAGAAACATTGATGAGAGAGAGAGACAGTGACTGGCTGCCATCCACACAACCCCAACGGGGCCGGGTACAAACTGCAACCGAGGTACGTGCCTTCAGCAGACCCGAACCCGGGTCTCTCTGGTCCATGGGCCGATGCTCTAACCGCTGAGCCACACCCACCAGGGCTTAAACACAATCCCGATAAAGCGAAGCACAGCAGATACAAGGTACAGCACAGGGCAGGCCTCCCACTGGTGAAGTGATACCTTCTGCGAAAGCAACATCACTCTCGTGACCAAACCCCATGGCTCCGTCGGACAGCCAGAGACTCTTCTTGGAGAGCAGGTACATCTGGGTGTTCAAGCTGAACTCTGCCGCCACGGGGTCGCTGACCTAAAACCCAGAGTGAACGCCTTTATGTGCTGCAGGTGGCTCTGGCGCTGCCCGGACAGTTACTCACAGACACACCCTCGCTGCACGGGAGACACTGGACGCGGCGCTGTGAGGTCAGGCCCAGCCCGCCAGCCCAGGGAACCGCAGCGCCGGCCTGTCCTCAGACGGCGGCTGGCGAGGTGGTCACCTTCGGAATGAGGCCAAGCGGCATTGCTTGAGCTCATTCCCACTGTTTGCGGGGGTTGTAAGGGACTCGTCAACGCCACAGTCAGCGGCAGCAAACGCTTAGCATCAATTCTTAGGCAAAAGCGCCTTCCATTTCTTCTAACTATGGCAGTCAGGTGCGTTGAGGTGGCTCCCAGAACATTTATTCTTCCACAAGATCGAGGACCAGATAAAGAGGGACGCTGGGAAGAGTCTCAGGTCTCTACGGCAGCGAACTCCAGGAAGAGATAAGAACAAAACCACCCCTTGCATACTCTTAATTATGGATTTTTACATACTGAACCAACGATGGATAAAGGGCAATTCTCTCCTCCTTTCTTCCTCCCTTACTTCCTGTCTGACTTCCTCCCCCCCCAGGGTGCAGGAAGTAAAGTCATTGTGTGCATTTCTTTTTTCTTTTCTTTTTTTTAAATCCTCACCCGAGGATATTTTTACATGTATCTTCAAACAGAGTGGGAGGGAGGGAGAGAGAGAGAGAAAGAGACATCAATGTGAGAGATACATCGAGTGGTTGCCACCCACATGACCCCAACCAGGGCCAGGGACAAACTGCAACTGAGGCACGTGCCCTTGGCCGGACTTGAACCTGGGACTCCTTGGTCCGCAGGCTGACACTCTAACCTGAGCCAAACCATCCAAGGCTGTGTGCATTTTTCTTTAACTGATAAAAATGAAACAAATAACAACATGGGATTCTATGAGTCTGGGGAGATAATTCCATGAGATGCACCTGCTGGAACCGGATGTCAAGGTCGAAGGTGACGGGCTCTCTGGGGGTGCAGGTGACTGGCAGGTGGTACTCCTGCTGCAACGGGGTGGTGCATGGCAGCAGCTTCACCGTGTAGGTTCCCGAGTAGTCGCGGACCTTCGAGGAGAAGGCAGGGCATTGATTTGTTTGTTTATTTATTTATTATCCTCACCCGAGGATATTTTTCCATTTATCTCCAGACAGAGTAGGAGGGAGGGAGAGGGAGAGAGAGAGAAACATCAACGTGAAAAAGACACATCGACCGGCTGCCTTCTGCATGACCCTGACCAGGGCCGGGGACAAACCACAACCGAGGTCTGTGCCCTTGACCAGAATCAAACCCACAACTCATTGGTCTGTGGGCTGATGCTCTAACTGCTGAGCAAACCAGTCAGGGCAGAAGGGGGGCGGTATTAAAAATCTGAGGTGCAATCAGAGGGAACAGACAGGGAACATTCAATCGGAGCCCAGTCACTCACTGCAAAGTCAGAGACAAAAGTCCACTGCTGGACCGGCTGGTTGTAGGTCGGCTGGCTCCGCACCAGGCGCAGGGAGAACGTCAGTCCTGGATGGTCCGCGGACAGGATCATTGAGCTCGTGAAGGAGCCTAGAAAAGCGCCGACAACAACAACGGCAGGGTGGTTAAAAGAGTGCATAACAGTTTCGAGTTTTCAAAGCACTTGAAATACATTAGTTGCTTTTATTCTTATAATAAGCCTGCAAAGTACCAGGGTCGATTTTATCATGCTGCAGATAGAGAAGCTGGGACTCTCCCAAGATCACACAGCAAGGCCCTGTACCTTCTGATCCCTGACTTGGTGCTTGTCACTGTGTAATTCTGCCCATGACCGTGCAGAGATGCTCGCGTATTCAAGGGTACCGTCCAGGGGGCAAAGCAGCACAACACGGCCTGATGTGAATGCATCTATTTGCACCAAAGCTGTTAGCTGAACTTCCTGTCTATTAGCACCCACACAGCTGGGGGAAACCAATTTGCACATGGGATCACCTTTAATGAGCTTGCCTGCAATCATGTCTAAACAAAGACTCGGTGTATTAGAAAGGTAGACACGTTGGCTGAAAACTGAGGCTAGGAAACCCTTATTTTCCAGAATTGTCAATTATACTAAAGATAAATTGTTATTTTTTGGTTTTGCCCTTCTTGTAGCTCAGCCTCATAAAATGACCAAGAACCCTTTTTCTGGGCCTGAATTTTCAGCAGTGGCCTCGCCTTGGCTTAGAGCTCCCCCTGGAGGACGGAGGCGGGACACAGTGAGAGAGCGATGTCCCCACCAGCCGGGCATTACTTGGCTCACCAGTAAAACACACACACCGTTTGCGTAATATTGAGAGTGAAACGAAAATTATTTCTAGTGAAATGTCCTTCATGCAAAAAGAAAGGGCTTTGACATGGGACTTTAGCGACTGCTACCTGACTGATATTCAGATTAAGTCCACCAGTCAGTAAAATCTCATAGCCAATCATGAAAGGTAATGGGTCTGGCCGGGTTGGCTCAGCGGTTTGAATGTCGGACCCGCGGACCAAATGGTCGTGGGTTTGATTCCAGTCAAGGGCATGTATCTTGGTTGCAGTTCCGTCCCTGGCTCTGGTTGGGGTTGTGCAGGAGGCAACCAATTGATGTGTCCCTTTCACATCGATGTTTCTCTCTCTCTCTCTCCTTCCTCCCTCCCACTTCATCTGAAGTTAAATGGAAAAAAAAATATATCCTGGGGTGAGGATTAAGAAAAAAGTAACATGTGGGAAACGTAAGTACAATAGCGGTGTTACTTCTGGCTCTATTGTAAAGGGTTCTGGCTGTACCAGAAAAACAGCTGTGAACGGAGAAGTCCTGTTGAACAAACGCAGTATAATTCAATTATTCTGTTCCGCGGAACTTAAGTAGAAGAGGGGATCGTGGTTACTATGCTCTTGAAGGAAAACTTCATTTAAATAAACTCAGTGGAGTTTTCTTTCACATTTAGTTAAACCGTTTTTTTATTTTCTCTAAAAGCCCTGGCCGGTTTGGCTCAGCGGTTGGAGCGTCGGCCTGCGGTACAGAGAGACCCGGGTTCGGTTCCCGCTAAGGGCATGTACCTCGGTTGCAGTTTGTCCCCGGCCCTGGTTGGTTGTGCGGGTGGCAGCCACTCGATGTGTCCCTTTCACGTCGATGTTTCTCTCTCTCTCTCCCTCCCTCCCACTCTATCTGAACAAAAAATGGAAAAATGTCCGCGGGTGAGGATAAAAAAAAAAAAGTCTATATAGACGCTGATGATTCTGCAGAGTGCGAGACGTAGCCAAACAGTGATCAAGGCTTCACGCTGTCATTGCGCACATGCGATCCCCTAAAACCCGGGGCCTCAGAGCTCACACGGAAGCTGAAACACGCGTGAACGTGGAAAAACACTGCCTTGTGGTCGCGGAGTGGAAGTTCCCGAGTGACGGGCTTACCCGGATGTGAGAGCACAAACAAGCCGTGGAATTTGGCTTCTGTCTTGAAGTTCACGACCAAGCACCCCTCCTCCCCAATGCGCATGCTGGTGGGGTACAGCGAGCCTGCAGGGGAGAGGGCACACGGGTGGAGATGCCGGTGACGGGCACTGCCGATGTACACGATTGCTTTCAAAATGAATTCAGATCCGTTCACCTGGTGTTTTTACTGATTTCAGAGACAGGAAGGGGCAGGGAGGAAGAGATGGAAACCTCCATCAGCTGCCTCCTGCGCGCGCCCTACTGAGCACGGAGCCTGTACCGGGGCACGTGCTCCGACGGAGTCGAACCTCCAGCCTCCCGGTGCAGGGGCGCCGCTCCGCCCCTGGGCCACACGGCAGGGTCACCTCAGCTGTAAGCATTCTAGCAAGGGTATTATCAGGACAGTTCCGAGTGACCAGAGAGGCAGGAGCCAAACTGTGGAATTAAAATGTGCTGAACAATCTAGAATAATTGTTCAGGCTGAACAGATGACCTGACACAGGGCTGTCAGGTCATTTCATCTGTGTAAGACGGGAGATTTGGGGATGAACTATCAACAGAGTCTTCCCTTCAGCTCATGAAAAGCGATGTGGGCATGATGCTCAGACCCACAAAGAATCAGAGCGGTAGCACGAACTCCACTAATGCATTAATTAGCTGTCTGCTGGGGACTGTGAATTATGAGCTTGGCATGGAAATTGGAACCACATTCTGTAGATGCTCATGGGCCCCCTAGTGAAGGCACTTACCACCACGATTCCAAAACATCCTGTTAAGTGTCAACGAATAATCAAAATTTAAAAGAGAAAGAATATTAGAAGTCTAGTCCATCTTTCAGAACACGCTGAGTGCCACAGAGGTCAGTATGTCCAAGGTCTCACAGCTAATTAGCTGTAGAGTCAGAATTAGAATCTGGGACTTGAAAACACACCTCCCGTGTTCAGAAACAAAAATGTGTAATGTTTTCTCTTGGGTTATTTCCAATGGATATTTCCTCTACCCGTTTTTTAGAATCTAGGGGCATATACAAATTGTGTTGTGTAACATATAAATAATCAATCACCTAGAATGAATGGACTGAGAGTTACGTGTCCACGAAATGTAGATATTACATCTAACAGTCACGCATCACACAAAACTCGAGGCACCGATATGACTGATTTAAAATAAACTTTTTTTCATGACAGAAACAAAATCATCTGAAAATGTTCAGTATAAAAATGAATACACCGAAAGTTGATTTTACGACTTCTAGCTACTACAGACGGTCCTCTCCGGTAGTAGGCGTGTGTTGCACGTTGGCACGAACCCACCTTGGAGCTCGGCCCCCGGGGGGCTGCCGATGCCGTCGTCCCACAGGATGGCCGTGTCGTACACAAACGTCAGCCGGAGCTCCGACCTCAGGTCGAAGTGCTGCCAGCCTCCCACGCCCACGGGAGAGTGGAACACGTAGGAGACGTACAGGGGAACCCGCAGGGTCACGTACGACTGCACAAGGTTCAAGACCTACAACGATGGAATCACATCTATCAGCAGTCTGCACTGTTAGCGAAATGAGCTTCCTTTTGCACCAGCCACCGGCAGAACATTCTGAATAATCACTGAGGAAAAGAAGTAACAGCACTTAATTTGGAAGCAGCTCCATAGTGGTTACTTTCCTACCTTCATGTGCAACAAAAGATATGTAGCAGAAACCCTTAAGATACATTGTATCGTTTTGACTATACTACACCCACACAGTCCTTGTAGTTTCATAGCAGCTTTAAGATCCAGTTCATAGAGCATATAATTCACCAACTTAGAGTGGACAGTGGCATTCCATAGATTCAGAAAGTCACGAAACTTCCACCATAATACATCTCAGGACGTTTTCATCACCTCCCAAAGGGATCCCAAACCCTTAGCAATCAATCTCTTAATCCCCCCCTTGCCCAGTCCCCAGTCACCCCAGCTTACTTTCAGTCTCTATGTATTTGCCCATTCTGGGCATTTCATACAAATGGAATCATACAATCTGTGGTCTCGTATGACACCTCCGTTCACGCAGGACACTGTTTTCAATGTTGGAGCAAGTTTTAATGCTTTATTACCGGAGGACATCCAACAGGGTGCATATACCACATTTTATTACCTGGTCATCAGTTGACGGGCATTTGGGCTTTCTCCAAATTGGGGCTATTACGAATAATATGGTTTTAAGATTTTTAATTTTTATATATAGATAAATAGAAAATAGTAGGAAAGATCTGGAAGCAAATATAATTAGTTGAAATGAAAATCTTGCTTAAAATTTATACTTACCTCTTTTAGGTGTTACGAAGGTGGACTGAGGGTCAGGGAGAATAAAATACTATTTATTTATTGAGCATCTACCACATTTTAGACATTGGGTTAGGTTCACAATAAAAGTTATGTAATATTTTCACTCTCCCCCGTAATTCAATGTATATGGATGTGTGAGTGATTAGATGAATGGTGGGTAGACGATGAACAGAAGAAAGAGACGAAGATAAAGACTCAGAGAAATAAAGCGAATTTCCCTCAACAGTCCTTGAACCTCTGAATGGCTCTGCAGTAGTAAAATGTGGCATCTCCTGCATTTCTTCTCTGTCAACTTGACTGCATCCCAGACAAAGCTGAGGCGCCCGAGATCACCTAACAATGGATCCTATCTAATCTCCAAACGGGTCTGCAGAACAGCAGACAAGTGCAACGGTCCTCTGCCCGGCGGGACAAGGACAGGGCCCACCACAGCCTTCAGATTCCCTGTGGGCTCCTGACACCAGGCCGGCACCTTTCTCACTGAACTGGAAGCAAGGACCATGTACATGAGTTAGGGGATCACGGAGTCATGGTAACTATACTTTATCTCTTTATCATGGTGTTAAAGTGAACTCTTCAAATAAAAATGAAGACCCGAACCACCAAATATACATACACACACATACACACACACACACACAGATACACACAAACATACATATACTCGTACACACACATGTGTGTATGCACAGATACATATACACACATATACATATACACATACATAAACACATACATATATATGTACACATACATATACACGTGCACATGCATATACACACATACATGCATATATATATCAAGAAAACCATCAATGAAGCAAATTATTCGACTCCCACTGTGTCGTAGTTAGCACCCCCCACAATCTGTTAACCACAGCAGAGGGACCTTGCAAGCGAAGTCCTTTGAGATGGTATTTTCTAAGGGTGGCTATTATTTCAGTCACTGAAAAATTGATCTTAGAACACAGTTTTAACACTTGACAGCGTAATAAAGAGTGACGAAGTCAATCAATATGCCACTCGTAATTAAGATTAATATTTCATCCTGTGATTTTAATGAACTATCATTTAAAAATCATGTATTACGCATGGATTTCCAGTTAAACTTTCTAGGCACTAAGAATAATTTTTGCTGAGATTGTACTCTATCCATCAAATGTTACCGAGTCTGCTGTTTTGGAGAGAGCTATTAACATTCATCTCCTATAGATACGTTACTTGGTATAAGCTCCCTGACCAATTTTTATTTGATTTCATTGGTAGCCTAGAGTCTGATCATTTCTGGACACAGAATTAGCATCTTATTGTTTCTCGTTCACCACGGCCAAGCCTTGTTCCATTTCCTTAGACGCTGCCCAGAGGAGCTGGAGCCGAAATGGAAGGACCTGGATCACCCAGGTCACGTTCCTGTTCACGCCCTTAAAACCGAGAACTGCAGTGCAATCCGTGCAACGCCTACAGTTCATCGTAGTGATGCTTGATTTTCTTCCAAACCATAGCAAAGGAATTTTTTTTTTTTTATCCTCACCCGAGGACATTTTTCCATTCTTTGTTCAGGTAGAGTGGGGGGCAGAGAGAGGAACAGAGAGAGAGAGAGAAAGGAACATCAATGTGAAAGGGACACATCGAGTGGTTGCCACCCGCACAACCGACCAGGGCCGGGGACAAACCGCAACCGAGGTACGTGCCCTTAGCGGGAACCAAACCCGGGTCTCTCCGGACCGCAGGCCAACGCTCTAACCGCTGAGCCAAACCGGCCAGGGCAGCAAAGGAATTTTTAAGGTGTTTGTTTATACTAGAAGAATTATATGTTGAATCTGGTATAGTGCTTTTAAACTAATACATAATGAATGCATTTACACATTCTTACTGTTTACTGGTGTTAGAAGTTTCTCCAACAAAGGCAAATTACACTTTAAATTCCATATTTGAAAAGAACGTGTAAAACACCCTGGAAAAGGTAACATAAATTTCTACTGCTGATAATAAGTGGCTAATAATTATAGGCAGCAATTAGATATGTTTGGGGAAGCATCACTTACTTGCCTAAGGGACATAAGAAAGTCTGCTGATTTGTGCCAGACAGGTAGGAAAGGGGATGAATAGGAAGAAAGACGGGTACCCCAAAAGGAAAATTATATTCATAATGTTGCTCAAGGTGGGAATTAGCATTTTTTTTTTAATTTACTTTTTATCCTCACCCGAGGACATTTTTTGATATTTTGCTCAGATAGAGTGGGAGGGAGAGAGAGAGAGAGAGAGAGAGAGAGAGAGAGAAACATCGACGTGAAAGGGACACATCGAGTGGCTGCCACCCACATGACCCAAACAGGGCCGGGGCTAAACTGCAACCGAGGTACGTGCCCTTAGTGGGAACCGAACCCGGGTCTCTCCAGACCGCAGGCCAATGCTGCAACCACTGAGCCAAACCAGCCAGGGCGGGAATTAGCATTGAAAAAAAGCATGAGTAAATTTAATTCTTCACTCGTATAAATTCTTTATAAATTTTGGATATTAACCTCTTATCAGATATATCACTGGTGAATATATTCTTCCAATCGGTAGGTTGTCTTTTAGTTTTGTTGACAGTTTCTGTTGCTGTGCAACTTTTTTTTACTCTCATTTTTAACTTTTTCTTTTGTTTTCTTTGCCCGAGGAGACACATCCTAGAAACCATTTCTAAGGGCGATGTCAAAGAATTTATGGTCCATGATTTCTTCCATAAGTTTTATGGTTTAGGGTCTTACATTTAAGTCTTTAATACATTTTGAGTTTATTCTTGTATATGTTGTAAGTTGGTGGTCTAGTTTCTTTTCTTTTCTTTTTTGCATGTATCTGTTCAGTTTTCCCAACTCTATTGAAGAGACTGTCTTTACCCTATTGTATAGTCTTCCCAACTTTGTCATAGATTAATTGACCACATAAGCATGGGTTTATTTCTGGGTTTTCTTTATTGTGGTCCATTAATATATGTTTTAGTTTTTATTATAGTACCATGCTATTTTGATTACTCTAGATTTATAGTACCTCTAACTTTATTTTTCTTTCTCAAGATTTCTGAAGCTATTCAGGGTCTTCTGTGGTTCCACAGAAATGTTAGGGCTTATTTATTCTAGATCTGTGAAAAATGCTGTGGGTATTTTGATATGGATGGCATTGAATCTACATTCTCTGGGTAGCATGGGCATCCTTGGCCATCTGCCGCCACTTATTGTATCTTCTGTTTCTTTTTTCAATGTCTGATAGTTTTCTATGCACAAGTCTTTTTACCTCCTTGCTTAAATATATTCCTGGGTATTTTATTTTCTTGGTGCCATTGTAAATGGGATTCTTTTCTTAATTCCTTTTTTTGATACCTTTTTTTTTTTTTTTTTTTACTGGTGTATAAAAATGCAACCAATTTCTGAAAGTTAATACTGTATCCTGACACATTACTGAATTCCTTTATTAGTACTAATATATATATATTTTTTGGTAGAATCTTGGTTTCTCTCTCTCTAGTTTCATGTCATCTGCAAACAATGACATTTTTACATCTTCCCTTCTAATTCTGATGACCTTTATTTCCGTTTCTTGTCTGATTGCTGTGGCTATGGCTTCCAATGTTATGTTGAATAGAAGTGGTGAAAGTGGACATCCTTGTCTTGTTCCTGATCTTTAAGTAAAAGATGTCATATATGGTCTTTATTATATTGAGGTATGCTCCCTGTGTTTTCATTTGACTGAAAGTTTTTATCATAAATAGATTTGGGAGTTTGTCAAATGATTTTTCTGCATCTGTTGATATTATCGTGTAATTTTCATTCTTCCTTTTATTCATGTGGTGTATTGATTTGCAGATACTGCACCAACTTTGCAATCCAGTAAGTAATAAGTCCCACTTGATTATACTGTATAATCTTTTAAATGTATTGCTGAATTAATTTTACTAATGTTTAGTTGAGGATTCTGCATGTATATTCATCAGGAATACTGTCCTATAGTTTTCTTTCTTTGTGGTGTCTTTGTCTGATTTTGGTATCAGGCTAACGGTGGTCTTATAAAGAGGTTGGGTACCTTTTCTCCTTTTCAGTTTTTTGGAATAGATTGAGAGTATAGGTATTAATCCTTTTTTGAATGTTTGGTACGATTCAGCTGGGAAGGCACATGGTCCAGAGCTTTTACTTATAGGAAGATTTTTGA